GAAAACAGCCATTCCTTTATACATGAAGTTTGAAGTTGGAACTCAAAAGGATATGATCCTATATTTTGCTCAATGGCAAGTATTGGTTATCCAAAAGACACTCAATGAAGGTAATAGTAAAAAAAATCGAAATTTTTGTTTTTGACACCAAACGAAATTTGAGGCATTTTTTTTGCATTTGATGGAAATATGAGATGTTAGCAATGTGCTATTATAAATGTGCTATACAAATAAAGCTATTACAATTCTTTTAACAAATATTTAAAACTAAAACCAAAAATGAAAAATGAATTAATGTATTACATAGTCTTAATTATTATTAAACGTTATATCGTTTTACTTTTTTCTACATTTTTCATTTAGTACTCTTTTAACTAACAATGTTTTTAGAAACAAGTTAAGTTTTCAAAGAAAGAGTATAAGAAGTGTAAATAATATTAATTTAAGAATACTTTCAGCATGATGCATTTAGCATAATTAAGTTTTTTATATGAATAATAATTTTTTAAGTCAATGTATTGTTTTGATATATATTCTTATAACATACATTATGCTACGAGCCTATATAATGCATTAAAAAAGACATGAAATATTATTTATAAGAACAGAAAAAACTAGATTTCGGCTTAGATATGGAGCATTAAAAGTACAATCATTCCGTGCTTACATGAATTTCGCAGCTGGAACTCATGTTAAAGTGACCTTATTCATGTTATCCTATGTTGATTGAATTATTTAATCTTTCGTAGATAATAAGTTAAAATTAAACACTTTTAACCAAAATAATTCTGAACATGATATTTCCTTTTAAACACATTTAGGAACTCTATGTATGGTATAAGAAGTGAAAAATTTATTGATTTGTCTTTACGTAGGAAATCTGTATTTACAAAACTGTAGGTATTTTGATTTCCGTAAGAAAATAAAGTATTTCTCAGCATTAAAAAGCTCACTGAGTTGATTGTTAAAAATTACATTACTTTTGCGGCGCAAAAACTGTAACATTTAAGAAAATTGACAATAATGTTTTATGAGTATGATGGAATAAAAATTAACCTTCTATAGTTACTTGAAAAATATTAACTGCTAAACTTGTAGTAAAAGTACCATGTAAACCACTCTGCAGTGGGCAGATATAGTATAATGAAGATAAATTTTGTTGACTGAAAGTGTCTTTTGCATTTATTAATTAGCTCAGTTTTCTTTCCAGATTTCAATTTGTTTGAAAGTTTTGAAATTTCAAGAGCTTTTTTTAGGAAAGTTTTCTCACCTTTTTGCTTCAAATGAGATTATCTATCTATTATATTGGGAAAATATTATATACTTGCACTTTTTTGATGATGAAAGTGAAAAAAAAAGAAAGGAAAAGAGATTAGGTTTTGTCAAATGCAAGTCTTAACATTTATACTCAAATTACTAGATTATTTATTAGTAAGAGATAAAAACCATTTTCCATTTAACATTTATAGTGATATAAACTAATCATTATTTATTTTTCACAAATTTAATCACCTCTCATTCGTTTCGTCTTATTGCGTACTAATTCATATACTAAAGTTATTTCTTCAAGTACACATATTTATTTTTCAAATCCAGGTAAATGTGCAATTGGTTGTTAACGGGTAAACTAAGAGACCAAACGTAACATATCAACAAAATCATTTTTTGAAAAGAAAAATATCTCTTTGTAAGGAAAACAAATTAATGAAGGAGAATTAATCACGAGGGTTGGATTGCGGATTGAAGCAAAAGAGAAGATTCAAAGGTGTTTAAAAGAAATGAATAATATAATGAATCATATGTACCAAATTTTTAGTGTATTATTAAATGTAATTTATTTTCTATCAGTGACCTAGATTTCTCAAACTAGGATTTCTAAAAAACATTATTTTTTTGATACATTTAATTTTTGTATTAAAATTATTCACTTAATGAATACTAAAAGACTTATCAAGTTAAAAATTCTGGGAAAAAATATTTTTAAAATGTACTCTTAAAATAAATAATTTTTATCTGTTTTACAAGAATTATCGAATAATTTCGAAATAAGAGTCCATTTTGAAATCTATGTCAAGGATTTTTTTATTTTATTTTTGTATTATGTTAATTTTTATTTTTTGTAAATGTGTAGTAAAAACTAATTTCATTTTGTGTGAATTCATACAAATATTATATACGTTTAAATAGCAAGAAAATGATACCAAAATGATACAAAAATCGTAGAGAACTTAAATTAGTTTTAAAAAACTAATCATTTAACATTTAATATTATTAATTTAATCTATATTATTACATACAATTAATTGATAAACCAGGATTATATATTGTTCCAAAATCTCAAACAAAGCATATTTCGTAAATTTATGTAATGATGTTTATGAAATGAATAATTCAAAAGAATTCAATCGAAAAGATTTGCTCAACACTTAAAAAACGTCATTTGTTTCTTAAAATTATAAGTTAAGCAAATTTGACCCTCATTCTTCAGGTTAACAAGACGTGACCCATTAATTGTTTTTAAATTTGGTTCTAATCAAAATACGCACAATAAAAAGTACAGTGAACTGAATATGAACAAAACTTTGGAGAGAACTAAATAATATATTTTCTGTAAAACGTTCCTGATCAAATTACAGTAAAAGTACTAACAATCATGGTGCTGGTAGTTTATACCGTAAAATCAACTTCCACCGGAACATGTAGCGGAACAAAAAACCAAACACACCGTAATTTTTACTGTAATAACTACCATAACATCACTGAATCACTAATCTAACAAACATTACTGTAATTTCTAAGCGAATCTAATTTCAATCTATCCCTGCTTGCCGAAAACAGTTAAAAATTATATATTCTCTAAAAATTTAAGAGTTTTTCTTCTAAAAATTTATTTAGTCTCAATTAAAAAAATCGTATTACTTACTTCATAAGTTAGTAAGTTTTTTAAAATCAAATAAATCTTACCTCAGTGAAATATATTTTATTTGTAATGCTTTATTTATTATGCGACTGCTGCGGATGTCTACAAAAGTTTAAATTTTTATTTTCTTATTCTTGATTTTTAGACTTTTTTGTCATATATACAGAATATAGGGATTAAAGTCTGGATAAAATTTGTAAATATTGAAACTTTTAAACTTTATAACAATTTCAAAAATCACAACAAAAAACTACAAACTTTTTTACTTCATTAAATTAAATTGCTTTTAAATTAGAATTTAATTGATAAGTGATACTTTAAGTTAATTTTTATTAATATCATATTTTTTCAGAAATTAAGAATGCAATTATAAAATTACTTCTTAACCGGAATAGGAAACATTTTACGTTGTTTTGAAATTACTATCTTGCGATAAACTATAACGATTTTTTGTTTCAATTTGAAAAAGAATAAACAAATTAAGAAAACCAAATAAATTTTCTTCTATTTCTCTTACAAAATCGGGTAATAATTTAAAGGGGTAAAGCAAAACATACAGTGGAAAAATACTTACCACTAAACGAATAACATAATTATCAAACATCTGATCTATGCAGGTTTCGCGGTTCAAGAGACACGCCAAACGTATCCTTTTAATTAGAGCTAACTAGTAATTAAGTAGCGAAATCAGATACAAAAATAAGCTTCTCTTAACCCAACATGTATTTATTTTGACAGATACTGGTTCTCGATTATCAAATTAGAGTAATTTGAAGACAAAATCTCGAAATTATATCTTAGAAAGTTTAGTCAGAAAACAGTAAAAAATGTGGGACCTATTAATGTTTGATTTAATTGCTACTTTTATAAAATTGTACGAATATTTATAAGAAATTAGAACAAATATATGTATAAGAAATTAGAATAAATATATGTATAAGAAATTAGAATAAATATATGTATAAGAAATTAGAGTAAATATATGTATAAGAAATTAGAATAAATATATGCATAAGAAATAAGAAAATATATGTATATGAAATGTTTAAAAAAAATGAGAAATATATTGTATATGAAGACAACACTAATTTTTAAAAGTAATTGCATGAAAATAATAGTTTCGACTAACAGTTTACTCCAGCTTATTGTGATTAACAAACTAATTGATTTTACTGAAGTACAAAAATTAACAGGTAATTAATTTAATCTGGTTTATCTTAAATATTCGTTTATTCTCTGATCATATCGGCTTACGATTGTATCACTTTATGCATGAGATTCATACAATTTCCAATAATAATGCATTTAAATTATTATTAAATGGCATTTTAAATAATTTTAATAATACTGAGGTTATTATTACTTTCGGAAATTAATTAAATTTTTCAACTGCAGTAAAAAGAGTTGTATTTTTTAAAGAAAACATAGAAACATTCAGTCACTCATATGTTATGTTTTTTTTAGCTTTTAATTATTTAATATCTATTTATAATAAATAATGAGGTAAGTTTAGATGTAGAATTTAAATTGTACGTGATAGAAAAGCAATGTATAAACGTAACAAAACGCGCTTATTCACAATATTAAAATAGTTTTGAGCAATGTCTTGAAAATTTAATATCCAGGACTTCTATTTCATCAGTTACTAATGAAAACATTGCTCAAAATACGCTATTTTAATTTTAATATGAAGCTTTGAAAATGCAGAATTTTTTTTTATATTCTAGATAGAGATATAGTTTTTCTCATGTGCCTGCGATACGACTTTCATATTTATTTCCTTTGTTTTCAAAATAACACAAATATTAAGTATGTAATAGGAAAAATGAAATGGAGTAGAAAGTTTTTCAGGGAAAAAAAAATAATAAACTTGCCAACGCCATAATCAATAGTAGTAGTAAAAGTTTTATGAAACCGAATTTGCTGTGCCTGTGCACATAGTTTTAAAAATTAAGTATATTCAGTTGTAGTTATTTCTTTTTTTTTATCATTTTAAGAGCTAGCACCATCTAGAAAAAACAATCTGATTTTTTTAAATAAACTAAATTTAACAAAAATTACTGATCCATCCTTTACTTACCTAAAACAGCAATGACCAACAAACAAATAAATTGTCCAAAACACTTTCTCATAAGAATTTCCATCCCAAAATCGAAAAAGATATTCAAATCCTTACGAAAAAAACAAACATTTGGTTTATTATTTTTTTTAAAAATTCCATTAAGCGTTTCAATTTCCAACAAGTGTCTATACAACAATACTAAATAAACCTATATATATATATAATTAAACTGGATTCAATACTGCCTCGTGCTGGGGCAACACAAAGAGCACATGTTTCTGAGTTTTCCGAAATAACTTAGTTTAGTCAGAAGTTAACTTCACCGTTCCCAGGGCGTCATCTGAAGTTGAAATGTGTCTGAAAGGAAGCGGGAATCTCCGTATATCATTAAAAGGCGGGAAGAGCATGCGCCCCTGCATTTAGTGCGCAGTAGGACTGTTTTATTCGCTGCCTTACGGAAGTGATATTGTTCACTTTTGCTTCTGGCATGCCTTTCCCACTACCACCCGTTGAGCGCCCTGCTTCGACTGAAAAGGGCGCAAAAGAGGCTCTTCTGTCATGTTTACGTTAAAATTCGTTAGGATTTAATTTTTACACATCCTGAGCCTCTTGTTATGCGTCAGCGGTATTAGGCATTTGTTTTTTTCTCAGGTTTTTGCTTACAGTTTTCCTTTTTCATTTGACTGAAAGTCTTCAATTTTGAAATTTTTGTTGATTTTTGTCTTGTAAAACACGAGTTGCATGCCAAAACAGAGTTGCGCAGGTGGCGCTCTCTCCCTCTATTTTTTTCTTCTTTTTTTGCATTCAAAAGCATTTTTCACTTCAAGCAATTTTTTTCTTTGAAGCTTTGAAAAGTTAAGCATTAATTTCGCCTTTTTTAAAACAAAATGCTTACGTGCTGCGATTATTGTAAGAGCAAGTTAAAATATAATATAGCTTAAAAGAAAGCATTATACAATTTTCTATACTAAATCAAGTGACTTTTTTTGGTAAGGATATTAAATATGGTTAACAAATCCCATGTTATTGTAACGCAAAAATATAAAATTAGTATGCAATTTTTAATAATCAAGATAGAGTAAGATTGCTTTAATCTCATGTATAAAAAATACTATAAAGTTCCCTATATCTAATTAGAACTATTATATTATAAAAAATGAAAACCGATGACGCAGTTCCTGCAATTTGACCGGAAATGAGTCCGCAGTTGACTATCTGGTACATATTAATGATAAATATGTTACTATACAGAAAAAATCAAAAACAAATTGCCAAATGTTTAATTCGATTTGCTGATTGTCGAAGTCTCGAAGTTTTAAATTGTATATAATGTCAGGAGAAAAAAATATTAATGCTATTAAATCTTTGAGATACCGATTAAGAACTTGTTTATTACAAAAGAATCTATTTCTTAATTTCATGTGTGTTTAGACGCATTCGAAATATAAAAAAGTGAATCGCTCACTGGTTGCAGTAGCGGCACAACTCAAAAAATCCCGTTTTGATATAAGTGGGCTTAAAGTTTTCATTGCTAAGGTAAATGCATAGGAAATGCTTTAGTTTGCTAAATACCTTCAAGTTGAATTATGAGTTGTGCAATCATGCTACTGAAACAAATGTGTATTTTCATATTTACACCTGTTCTTAGTCCAAAATGCGTGTTCTTTTTAGTTGTGCCGCTATTACAGCTCATGAGCGAAATGTACTAATTAAAAATTAGTTGTGATTTACTAGCATAATTTGTAAGTGTTAATTTTTTATCATGATTTTTGGTACATTAAGATTTTTAAGAGATTGCGTAAAGTGCAAAAGCGTTTAGCCTTTTATAACGCAAGGAAAGAAACATATTTTAAGCTCTGAATCAACCCACAGATTTCAAAATTTTGGAGATTTGTAGAGTTAAAAATTGGAAATAATTGTTTTTTATTCTTTTTTACCAAATTAGACAACTTGACTAAATTTGTACTTTTTTAATGACTTGAATACATTTAGTTTAAGACAGGTAAAAAAAAACGTATCATGAAATATTATATAAAAATGAATAAATAATTTAATATCAATTCTAGCTTATATTATAAGAGCACAGATTATATTGTATTGCAAAATTATTATATTTTTACACATGATTATATTACAATATAGCATACAATATGATTATATTGCAATCATGTTATATGTGATTATATTGTTTTTACAATATAACATGATTATATTGTTAAAGCACACAAAACATTTTACTCACTTATAAAAATTTTAATTTGCAATAAAGAATCTTAAATTAATTTCATGTGTGACTAGAGCTCAAGTTTTAAAAATCTGTTAATAAATTACTTTTCATTTGATTTTTTTAAAATTTAAATTTTAAATTTTCGCATGTGTTAGAAGTTAAATCAAGAGAAAGTGTACAAAAACAGGTATTTTTCTACTAGATAATTTTTCAATAAATATAAAAAAACTACTGCATGAAAATTTTAATAACTAATTCTTTCAATAAATAACTATGATTTACAAAAGAATTCTCAATAATAAAGTTTTTAAAAAAAAAGAAAATACTATCAATTAATTTAAAAAATAAAATGTGTAAGAGTAAAAAAAAAATTAAAGTAATAACATTTACGCGAATGGATAGATTCAATCTGATTGTATACCAATTTTGTGAAACTATATTTTATATCAGAATTGCCTAATTTTATCCAACTTTCAAGAGTTTTTGCTTTTGAAAATTTTTGCACCAAATTTAGATTTTTTTTCTTGACCATGCTTTATATAGTAATAGAATCATAAGAGTGCGAATTTAGCTATGTATTTATTTAGTTTCAATCTTTATTTTTTTAAAATATGAGCGTATTATAAAGCTTTGGTTAGCAGAAAATCTATGATAAATTCAAATTATAAGACTTTGCTACCTGATAAATTCTAACCTACTTTTAAGTACCTAAAAAATTTCTTCAGATTTAAAAATATAAATTCATCCCTTCTCACACGAGAAAAATTTTTTTTGAAGCATCAGCATCTTATATATATATATACATAATGTTTCATATTTTAAAGGAATTATTTTTGTCTTAATATTTTTTAAACGTAATTAACTATATTATACACATACTTTAGAATTTAGCCTCATATTCATCAAATCAAAAATCGTGTCTCATTAAAAATGTCCAATTTTTTTTAGATTTTGAGTAAATTTTTTTACTCTTAACTGGTCATTTTTCATTACTTCGGAATAAATTGCATTGATGCCTACTTCTCACAGATAGCAAAGTGAAAATAATATTTACATCCACTCATAAGAAAACTAACCATTCTTCTTGATGAGGAAGTGCTGACGTAACTATAATAAATAAGTTCTTAAAAATTTAATATCTCATTCAACAAAACAAATATCAAGTCTGATGAAAACTGTTCATATTTTTCCAGCCCCTGAAAAGTGTTACATTTACCTAACTGATCATTTTCCATTACTTTGAATTTAATTATTAATGCCTACTTCTCACAGGTAGCAAAATACATTAAATTTTATACTATCCTGATAACATTGCAAACATGTTTCTAAAAATACGTTTCATCATGATTAAGATTTCTTATTAGCTGTTTGCTTTAGTTGAAACTATTTTTTTTGTTTTAATGCTTACTTTCTATTTTAATGAATAACTATCATGAATTAATCTTCAAAAAATTTAGTATTTTATCCATTCCGTTCAAAGTCAAGTATTTTATCCATTCCGTTCAAAGTCAAGTCTTTTAAAATCTGCTCAAAACTTTCTAAGCCTTTATAAATTTTTGTTTCACTTAACTGATCATTTTCAATTACTTCCGGCATAATTATTGAAACCTATTTCAACTTCTCACTGATAGCAAAAAATATATTAAATTTATATCCACCCATGATAAAACTAACCGTGTTTCCAACAATATCATGTCTTCTTCTTGACGAAGAAGAATTCTCGTTAGGTTTTAGCTTTTATTTTAAAACTTTTGAGTGATTTTATTATTATATGTGTTTTCTTCATTCTCTCACCAGAGAAAGAGCTTTTGTTTTCATGTAACAATTGAATCTCACTAGGATTAGATGGAGAAAGAATGATGGAATTTACCAACTCATCTCGAAACAATGATGCTCACTAAGGGAGCAACTGAAGCGAAAATCTTTTGTTGACAGAAATCTCTCTTCTTTTTTTTTACTTCAAGATATACCAAATGAAAGTTTTTTCTTATGAAATTTTGATTTTAAGTTTTCTTAAAACCTTTTTATTTATTTTGCTTGTTTTTATCAATTCCTTAAAAAATTATTCTTTACACAAAATAAAGAATATGTTTACTTGGGAGTTGAAGTTTGCAATTTTTAAAAGTTCAAATATTGATAGGACTGTGTACACGTTAGTAGACATTTAATTAAAGTAATTTTATACCAAACAATTAAAATGGTTGTATATCAAATACAAAAATAGTTATTTTGTAACTATCATGAATCTTAACTGCACGTCTGACGCTGAAATACGATTTGAAAATATATTTACCGTAAACTCTGGAAATAAAACTAGATTAAGGGAGTATCATTTCAATTATGAATTCTAAGCGACATGCAGTTTGAATTTAAATTTGAAAAACGTGCAGTTTGCATTTACCATACTGCATGCAATGTTTTATAATTTAAATAAAAGACAGCTGCTCCCTTTAGAACATAACATTTGAGACAGAAAAAAAATAAACATAAGGAAAAAGTGATTTTTTGTTAAAAATACGAATTGAAGTATTCAAGGACAGCAATATGATTGATGGCGTTTTTATTATCCTCTTTTATAACATAATAGGTGTTTTTTTTTCTCCTTTTCCTTATCATTTTTATTATCATTCCTATTATAATTTGCTTTTTCTTTTTGATATTTTATTTAATAGTAGAACTATTATTTTCATTCTATATTAATTAAACCAAAGATAAACATTACTTTTCAAATTCAAAATTTTAAAGAATTATTTGTAAGGGAAAATGAAAAAGGAACTGTTTGTTTGAAGAAATAGGAAATCTTAAGTATAAATCTGAAATTCCATGTCTAAAAAATGCAGGCATGGAACTTTAATATTCCTTTATTGTCAACTGTGACTCTAGCACTATTCTAAAAAAGGCATGCTTTTCTTTATTACATATCTGTGCCTCTTGAATTTCAGAACCGAAAGTGAGGCTTCTCGAATAAAGCTCATCCATTTTTTTAAAAACAAATAAATACATTTTTTAGTCAAAAATGAGAAAGAATTATAAAATATAAAACTTTTTCTTCATTAGATAGTTTATATATACTTAATAAATAAAACATTTCTTAGTTTTCCAGTAAGCTGTACAAGATCTTTAATTAACATTCAATGGGGAATGCAAGATTGCAAAACTAAACCAAGTAGATTGGAAGCATTTTTGATGGATTTGAACTATATATCACACAGAATTTATTTTCAATTCCAAACTAAGAGCATCAAAAATATAATATTACGTTC